TATAATTAATTATATGATTAAAATATTATTAAATCCACATGGCAGCACGTAATTAGCTGATAATTTTTTCTCTTCTACAATATTTAAGGCAAACCTGAGTTCCCAAGTTACATTTCCATTCGTTGCCCAAGATAATGCATTTACCGAGTCATTTTCTACTGTCAAAGAAACCGTGCAAGCCCACTGAGAATTATAGAAAAGCTGCAATAGCTAAGAATTCCAGCCGTCGAGAATACCATTTTCATCTCTAAGAGCTCCAGCAATCCCAGCTGGTCTCAGTTTCCCTTTGACAGAACCATCAGCATTGAATTTAAAGAAATTAGGGGATGGAGGGAACCAAGAAACAAGCCTTTTTGCAGGCAATATTGCTGAAAACATCATTCAAAGAGAAATTCCCAGTGTAAGCTAGCCTGGATTAAATCAAGAATTTGAACTCAAACAAGAGCTATCTCATTCCGGTAAAAGCAAACAGACCAGGGATTTCATGTTACATTTTGTTGGGTACAATATAAAGTGAGTTGAAATTTTACAATCTAAAGTTAAGAAGCAGTTTGGGATCGATGTATCAAATACATAAAGGTATATATTTTGCTAGATGGAAAGCATCCCACTAACAGCAGCAGCACAAGGCATAGACACTGCAGAAAACAGTTGACGGAAAAGCATAATTAATTTGGCATTGAATTGGTTAAAAAGTAAATTAACAAGCAGGAGGATGCCCAAAAAAATAGTAATGAGCTATATACATATAATTTGAAAGAAAGCAAATGCAGAAAAAAAAAAAAACTAAATACTTATTTTTGATCAAATTAGGATGTAATCTCTTGGGATTTATCCACTCAATAGAAAATTAATGACAAAACTTAGTGAATAAAATTAGTAGGAAGTAATGGCAATTACGTGAAGGTAATCTTTAACAAATATGTATCTGAATCTTTGAATTTTATTAATGATAATTTACACGACATAAAATTGGTTTTAAGGTCTGGGTTGAGTTGATGTAGGCACATAATTTCAGCAGTAATTAACGTTACCATCCTTTAAGAAATCTTCTTGTCCTGGATTCTTCATGCGGAGAATTTGTTCCTTGCACTTCCGAGGTTTCTGTTTAGATATGTCAGCAGCAAAAGTGTTCAAACTAAATTTAAATAACAACATCAAAATTAATTGAGAAAGCAACTAAATATAACACCTCAAATTTACATAGAGACGTACCTGAGGATTTGATTTAATAGGAAGTGGACATAACTTAATACTTAAAGAACTGAATCCGAATTCCCTCTTTCTCGAATCGACAAATAATAATTCTGCAAAGAGCTATCACAGTTTTTTACGAAGTTTAAAACTAGGCACTAGGCTAGCAAAAGCATAAGACGAAGCGAATGGTGTAAAAAAGATTAACAAAGCAGAAAGACCATCGAAAGAAACAAAGAAAGATAGGGAAGCCACTACTAAAGCTGTAACAATATTAACCCACTACACCCTTAACGCTAACATATTCGTGTTCAATTTGTCTTGAATCACTTAAATTGTTATAAGTATGATCCTTGCATTCTCAAAATTAATGTAAAAAGTTGTTAAAAACTAACATTACATACTCATATCCAACCTTCTACCCTGAGTTCGTGTATCATAGCACTTTTCCTAAATAGGATGAAAACAAATTAAAGGGTACATCAATAACTCAAATTATGAAAAGAAAAAGGAAATCTAATCTGTTGATGAAAGAAGAAATAACAAGCTCAGAGCAAAAGAAGAAGAATAAATAAGAACCAAGGAAATTAAGTTAAACACCAAAACGATGAGCTAAGTGCAAAATAACTGATCAAACAGAAAGAAAAATGTTTGAGATTGTGGAGAAACCTTTTGATCTAGGTACATCACAGTTTTTATCCATTTTCAGGAAGCAATTAATTGCAGCTCTGGCTAAGAGTTGATGTATATTTGCTCCTTTGAGAAACCCCTTTATGGATGTTTATTTTCATTGATGAGTTAGTAATAACGTTCATATACAAGCAAGGAGTTTCAGCTTCAGCCTACTATTTGCTACGTACTATGGCTAGCTTAATTTCCTTGCGTGTAAATGCTTTAAGGGAACCGGATTCAAAATAACTTTGCTGTCAGATCAGAAGACTCCATGTTACTACAGCCAGATGCCAAACTTGTACATGGTTGATATTATCTTTCAAGGAGAAGGGAGAATCACTTTAAAAGATTCATGCCTTTTGGATAAACCAATGAGGGGAAGACGGAGGAAACAAGGGTAAATGATATGACACAGACTACAAAGGAAAATGGCAAAGGAAGGAGCAATCGGAACAAGTTGCTGGAGAAGAAACAGCACAGAAAAGCAATCAGAAAATGTAAAAGGCACTCTGTTTCCCTATTTTAGGGGTTTAACTTAACATATATTTTGCCTTCAATTTACCTGAACTGTGATGCAGCAAAGCCCCTGAAGAAAACAAGGGTCTTCATATGATCTATATTGGTATCTATCCATCTTGCCCATGTACTCAAAGCTTTTCGAAAACCGTCTGACTTAAAGTAGTTATACATCAAAAGAGAAGGATAGAGGACAAACATACATAGAACAAAATGGAGTAAGAACCCTCTGTTTGTAATTCATGCCTACCAGAGGCTTCAAAAGCATTGCTTTTCTCCTCAACTGAATTGCTAAGGACACAAACCAGAGATCCCACATATACCATTTTTGTCTAAGTACAAAAGAATTACTAAACAACAGAGATGAACATTTTAGATGTAATCACATACATCTGACTGCTCCTTAATTACTCTACAGATGGAAGCAAGCATCCCACAGCCAAAGCAAAGAGACTGAATTTCAGGGCAAAATTTGAAAATTAATGGTGAAAATAGACAGAAAAAATGAATGATTTGTAATTTAAAGGCGGAAGAATCAAAGATAGAATGCAATTCAAGGCATATGTATGTAAGCATTCTAGTTGGCGAATTCTTGATATGCAAGGTTAGCATTCTAGTTGGCGAATTCTTGATATGCAAGGTTGGCTGCTACTTTCCTTGTAAATCTTATCTTGGAATCTGATTCTGCATGAACTGTCTGCCATAGAAGCCATGCCTTTTTTACTGTCCATGAACTCAAAATGGAGAATCAGTTCAAAGACATTATGCCCTTTATGCAACCCAATATGGATTGGTGGCACAAGATAGACTTCATCTCTTGTATACTTTATTAAACCATTACGATTATGCTTATCTTTTTTTTTTTTTTTAATTTGCAGATTCAACTTTTCACGAAATTTAAATTTACAATATGAAAAGATGGATGCATGCATTCATCTGCATTTATTTAATAAATAAAATCATTGATCCAGTCGATAATATCACAAATTTAAGATAGCAACTTAAGTAATGATAAATAATATAATATAAATATTAATTTTATAAAAAACAAAGGCATACCATTATTTATTTATTCTTTTTTGTAAATAAATATTTATTCATTGCATATTTAAATTTATTTTATCATTTAAATTTTGAAATTTATTCCGTTCATTAATCTCCATCTCTCTCATCTATTGTTATATATTCAGGTACGATTTGTCTAAGAGAAATGAAAGGAATAATTAATCAAGTCGATAGCAAACCAAGAATATTCCATTCTTTTAGGGACTTTTAGTTATTGCTTTCCCATTGTTTTGAACAAATATTTCATGAATGTGGATATGATATCGGTACCATATCATGCATTTAGTTTCAATATCATCAATTAATGATGGAAATAAGATAGAAATTCCACCTGTTTCATCTCAATTTTGACAGCAAAAGCTTGGATTCGGAGAATCTGGTAGCGGATTCAATGTGCTCAAAGATGCCAAAATTTTCCTTTTCCATTTTTATTTTTAGTTGTAGTTTTTATGCATTCCCTGTTTCTCATTTGAATGAATTGTCAAGATGAATCAAGTTTGAGGTTGACAACTATCAGAACAGAAGAAACAGATAAAAAGAAGCAAAGGTTGTGATGTTGGGCTTGTATGTCTAATCTCAGAAGCAGGGCCATTTAAATATAAATCAATGGTTGCTGCCATGGAAGAGAAATCTATGGCAGTCAACATTCATTTAATTGAAACCTTAAAAGGCAGTATTGGGATCTTCTAATATCAGGATGGATTTCTATGTGCGAAATGCATATTGCATGATAGGATCATCATTCTTACACATGAAGTTCATATCATTTAATAAATCTTTTGCCTTTGCAATTGAATGAGAGTATTGAAGTAGTGATATAAGAAATTCCACACTGATTAAGTTGGAGGTATCATGGGCACATAATATGATTAAAACCTTTTCAGCTATTATCTATTGATTTTCGGTTTGATGTTCATTCTTTAAATTTAACATTTCTCACATACATTATGTTGCTTAATTTTTTATTTTCCTAAACACGAGCCTCTCACTTATTTGTCATGTTAGCTCCTCGAGCTTATGATTTTTGAACATCTCTTGCATGTCATTCCTCCGACTTAGAGGCAGTTGAATCTTGCTCTTTGTCTTCAACCGGTGACTCACTATAACTGAAATGTTTCCTCTCCTACATTCTCTTTCGAGGATTATACATTCCAACTTTAGTAGAATTAATTCTTGACATTGCAAACTAAGGTATTTATTGGTATGCACTCATTGAATTTAATTAAAGGAAATCTACCTACTAAGGATGTGGTCTTTGAATTTTGAAGGCCACCATGCATAATTATCTTGATCGAACTGGAGAATTTATTAATCCAAACAAACAGCAGACCAGAAAGGGTTCCAAGCACAAAAGAGCTTCACACATTAGAACAACCAGTAGCAGTATAGCCATTCACAGCAGACAAACCTCATGGCTTAAAACCAACCTCCACAAACAAGAAGCAAAGCAACTGAAGAGAAAACTGGACAGCAGGGTTGGGCAGATCCATCCCGACCATCAGAAGAAGAACACAGCTCCTCCGTACACAACAAGTGGCAACCACATGAATGAATAAACATCAAGTCAATTCGATTGGGGTACACCTGCTTTTGGAAGACAGAGAGCAAGGGTGGACAGACAAACCCGGAAACCAGACCACCAAAAACAAACAACACAATAAAGCAATAAATATGAGGACAAAAACAACGTCGAAGGTAGCAGCAATGGCACCACAAAGAAAAGCAGAGAATATCAGCCGGATAGAAAGCGGCAGCCACCACACAACAGCAGCCAATAAATGAAGACAGGGAAGAAGCAGCTACCACCACGAAGAGAACTTCTTGTGAACACCATATCTTTCTAAGTCATCCATCTCAGAGGCAGATGAAACTTCCCCTTCTGAAGATCTTTGTAATTTCTCCTACTTAGAGACGGTTGAATCTTTCTCTTTGTCTTGATCTGTGTACTCTCTATCATTGAAATATTCCCTCCCCCGCAGTCTCTTTTAAGGATTCAATTCTAGCAACGGCTGAATTAAATCCAGATATTGCGAATTAATAAATTAATTAGTATGCATACATTGAATTTAACTATAGGAGATCTTTGTCTTTATCTTTACTATTACTATTACTATCTACAAAACCACAAACTATAAAAGAAGTATAAATATTGAACAACATATATACCTTTAAGAAGTAACTAAAATTAATTATTTTGTCTTTAACTATTACTTTTTATTAATTAAAATATTGACTAATTTTTATTTTTTGGTCAATCACTAGAACAATTCTTTTGGTTTTCTTAAATGGGATGTATGAGAGCCTTTTAATTTCTTTCATTATTCTTTGTTTAGTGAGCAATTAGCAGCAAAGATTTTGTGTACAATATTTAGTAATGCAACTTTTTTTTTTGTTTTTTTAAATTGAATACTAAAGTAATTTGTTTCGAAAGGGATATTGAAACATTTTGAATAAGAATTTTAATTTAGAAATTTCAAATTTAAATTTTAACAAAAGTAAAATAAAGATGAGGCTTATAAGTTCAGAACTATCATGTAAAATTCATTTTATCTTCTTTATATAAAAATGCCTTCACAGATATTTAATTTACTTTTTCTCTTGTACCATCTTTGGTATTCTAATCAATTTTATTGGCTTAGCAAAAAAAAAATTATTTATCTAATTTTAAAGGTGATTTTTTATCATTATTAAATTGGTTCAATTTTTTTTTCACAAATTCCTGTTAAGATTAAAACAAAACCAATTCATACAAGAATTGAAATTATTTTTACCTGGGCAGAGTTCTTCTTAAAGTCTAACTCCAAGATTATTGGGAATGCATAAGTACTGCTGTATAATCTTCAACCTGATAAAACAAATTAAGACATTAGTCTGGCAACAACGACTTAACTAATTATGTTATATCATCTCAAAATGGTAACACTAATAAATTCCTTTATTAACAATATGAAAGGATGTGCATATATTTATATGTACTTGTATGGAGCATGAAAATAATTAATTTCACTATTTTTTGCTTTGAAAACTTGAAATCATATTCATAGATCTTGATTATTCAATTTTAAGATTTCCAAATAAGTTTAGAGCTATGTTTAAACAAAAAGTATTAGATGTTTTGATTTAAAAAAAGTTATAGATGGAAACTTACCTTAGCAAGCACGCATTCTATATGAGCAGCAAATAAATCCTTGCAGTCTTCACAACAATATACATGATCATTTGGATATCTTTCTTCCTCACAAATATAGCAGTCAAACTCTCCTGAATCATCTTCTTGAAATGAATCCTTCATAATTAAATGATGAACATGGCGTTTGTAGTGAACAACACGAGGTATGGGTACACAATCCAAGTGAAAATTGATGGCACATTCCAAACAACGATAAAAGGCTCCTCCACAATGTTTCCCACATACACTACAAAAGGGAGGTTGCCTATGTGTTTCAAAGAGCAGCTGAAAATTTGTCCCAAAATAATAAAGATTGTGCGGGTGGGACTCACATTTTAGAGGCCGCCTTATAGAATTAGCACATGTGGGATGGAGTTTGAGGTCACATTGTTCACAACTATATCCACATCTAGGAGAGTTTATGTACAAAGGACGACAAGCATAGCACTCATAAGATCCCTTGGGTTTGGAAAATTTAAACATGTGTTCCAAATGAAATGGGACTCGAATCTTTTGTGGTAATTCAAGACAAGATTTATGAGCTTCGTAAAAGCAGTTGCGGTTGGAGCAAACATAGGCTAGACCAAAGATTGGGACGCCACAAACCCTGCATTCTATTTTCTTTGTAGGGTCAATACAATTGCCAAGGACAAGCTTATGTTGATGGGTTAAATGGTGTAACTCGGCTAGTTTCTCCATCCATTTACGTTCCGAAACACCAATTTTATGAGCTGTTAGAGTAGCGCATTTCACATCAAGCTTGAAATCACACTTATTACAACTATAAAAGAAGCCAAAACATACGTCTCTACACTCAGCACATACAATGTAACGGACACAAGAAGTATAGAGGCTAAGAGGATGGCTAGAATGAAAAGGGTGTGGTATCTCATAAGGTAATGTAGCACATTTTTCATGTAGGTAGTACTCTAATTCTTCAAATGGGCACGTTTCACAGACATAACAAGGACCACTAATTACCATACGACAAGCTTGACAGTATTGATTTTTCTTTAACTTTTCAATAACTTCATAGAATCTCATGGGATGTCTATGGATGATAAATCGATTCTGCATTTACAAAGAAAGGTGAATAATCAAATAATGAATAAGCTCAATTCCTAAAGATTATATATATATTTCTCTACACAACAGTTACAATGTATATAAATTGTAACATATCAATCTAATTTTGAATAAAAATTAATATTGAATTTAAATTAAATTATATGTAATTCACTACTGAACATGCATGTTATAAAAATGTAAAATTCTTTTTGTGGGGTCTAAACTCTTCCCAATTTGAATGAAGTTAGCAAAATATATTCAATGAAAGTTGCAAACCAGAAGTTGCTGAGGAGTGTGGATGCCATCAATGACTTCACTATGCTCCATTTCCTTCAGTAACAAAGTGTTACTATAAATGGATTGAGGAACCGAGGATGAGACGTCCTTCTCAGGTGAAATTTTATCCTATTGAAACATGCATTTATCATTATCACATCAAGATGAATCAAATAGACAAAGAAAATTATACGTTGTTAAACAAGAGAAAGGGGAAGGGTGTAGCAAGTAATTAGGCAAAGTAATGCAAATAATTATTACCTCATTGAGTCCGCAACCAATATGAGCAATATATGTGCATTTTTCACAACAATAAACAGGATCCATTGGATTCCTTTCATTCTCACAAACATCACAATAATATTCTCCAGAATCATCTTCTCTAAATGAGTCCATATAAGTCATTGGATGCCTGTGATATCTATGTTTAATTGAAGACGGTATTGGAACACAAGGAAGATGGACGTTGAAATTGCATTGCACACAACGATAGAAATTATTATCGCAAAGATTTTCAGACATTACAACGAAAAGGATTTGGCCTACCGTAGCTGGTTTTTTTGAAATAAGTGAGAGGGTGGTCGTGACACTTATGTTTTAGGGTGGGTAAGAGCTTAGCACAGTGAAAATGAAGAAAAACATTGCACTTTCGGCAGCTATAGGGAAGATCCCCTTCAGATGTTCCATCATAAACAAATTCTGCACAAGCTATGCAATAGCTGCTGGTTTTATAGTGCAAGCAAAGAGGGTGCGAAGGATGAAAAGGATGATAAAGTCTTTTCGGTATCTTATCCCTACACAACTCATGAAGGAAGAAGTCACATTCTAGACAGCCATAGCACACTTCTGATAGACGCTTTTCGCACCAACTACAATTATAGTCATATTCTCTTGTCTTCCTATATTTGAAGATGGTCAACTTGTGAAGGTGGCTGTAATGTTGAATTTCCATTCTCTTGCCGTCTGTAACTCTCTGCCACTCCTCTTTAAGTAATATATCATTAGTTGAAGAAGCTCATGCTAAATCAAGATTAAAATTGCATTCATCGCACTTGTATCTGGAGAAAGTAGAAATACACCAACATTTATCACAAATGAAATCCTGCCAGTTGAGTTGTAGTTGAAGACGGTGCTGCGAGTGGAGACGGTGAATAATCTTAAGAGGCAGATGTCAGTTCACTCGCGCATGATTCATGGAGCATAAACCCGCAAATTTCACAAGTATAGGCTGTATTCGAGATTTCCTTTGTGCATGCAATACAGTATTGTTTCGGAGCATTCTCCAGATTGTGGAAACACAAGGAATGGTGATGAGAAGCAAGTTTGATACTCATTTCAAAGAAGATGGAAAATAGATAAACAAAGAGATGGATAGAGAGATAGAACAAAGATTATAGTATAACAATTTACACTTGTGCTAAATAAAGCACTATATGTAAAGGCAATCAAGATTAATAAGAGGGTTGAGATCCAAGGATGGAATCTCAACTCCCTTACTTCTCATATTAAAGGAACAATCCCGTTCTTGATCAGTGATGGAAACACAATATTATAAAGAATACTATAGTCCCTTTCTTGATTAAATCAAGAATTTTAATTAAATTCCATGACTTTCCATTCAAAAGGCAAACAGACCATGGATTTTGTGTTGCATTCTTTTGAGTACAATATTATAATCTAAAGTTAAGAAGCATTCTGAAATAATGCTTATTCCAAATTGGAAAATTAGATCAATCTTATTAATATTTATTACAATAACATTATTAATGATAGTCATTTGATGCAATAGAATTCTTATCACAAATTAGAAAATCGTATTAATATTTAATAATAAAAATTAAGAAATTTAACATATCAATTTAAAAATATGATAAACACAAATATCAGTTTTCATCCTTGTAAAGATTTTTCAACAAGTATACTTTTATATATATAACATCATGAATTAAAGTAAAGTTGCAATCCAGATAAAGGAAAAGAATACTGATTTCTTAGCACAGGGCTCCACCTAGGATTTGTTTTCCTGTTTAATTAAAAGGATTGAGATCCAAGGATGGAAGCTGGAGTCCTTACTTCTCATACTGTTGAGTAAAGGAACGACCCCTTTCTTGAGTTATGGAAACAGGCAAGGTATATATTTACTTTTCGCTAAATTAGTAAATTGATAAATTGGTACTTGAGTCATTGAGAAACAGCTTTGCTTTTTCCACAATCAAAGCATGTTCTTTTCGAATGACAGTAAAGAAACAATTCAAATTTCAATGCTAGAGAATGGCTTTTTTTTTGTCCAAAGAAGTTACTTTACTTTATGCTTTCTTAAGCTGCCTCCTCAATGAATATGTTATCATTTCTTATTAAAAAAAGGAGTATGTAGATTAATTAAAGAAAGGAAAAGAAGAGAGAATAAAGGAAGGAAAAGTATGTCATCAAGAAACAACATTGGTTTTTCCTAATAAAGCATAAAGTTACTTAATAATAATACTTCTTTAACGATTTTACACATCTTTTAGAAACGTCTAGTTTAAGTTTGTTAACATCGAATATAAATTAGTCTTTAAACTCTAATAAAGTGGTAGATTAGTACCTCTACAATGATTTGAGAAAATTAAGTTTCTATATTTTTCAAAATTGATATATCAGTCCAATGTGTTAAATTTTTTTGTTATTCATTCTAATATGATATTTTTTTTATTAATATGATATTTAATTTGATGTCATGGTAATAATTATGTGACATTTCACAAATGATGCAATAATAGTGTTGATATGATGTAACCAAACATTGATATGAATTTTATAAGCGTGGACATAAAATTATTCAAAATGAACTACGAGTTTTAAACACAATTAGAAAAGATATAGATAAAAAATACAGATAAGTTTATAGGATTAAGAAAAATAATGTTGCGAGATAGAGAAAAATTAAATTTTTATAACTATAATTTAAAGCCATGAAAATAATGTTATGAAATAGATAAAAAAAAATACCAAGTCAACATTAACACGTCATTTTATTCAATACCACATCAACAAGAAAATGTCATATGAGTATAGATAACAAAAAATTTTAACATATTTGGATTAACGTTGTCGACTTTGAAAAATGCATGATTCAATTTTCACAAATTATTATATAGAGATTAATCTACCACTTTGCTAGAATACAGAGACTAATTATATTATTTAATCTATAAATAAACATATAAATATATGAAGCAACATTTTATGTCCAACGACGAGTACAATTTTCCTCGACCCTTTTCCATTTTGTTGAAAGACAAAGAGAACAATATTTCATAAAAAGGTATAAGTCTTAATTAAATTATTTTAAGGTCAGAAAGATTAGCAAAGTAATTAAAACAGTACTTGCTTTCATATTCTCACAATAATTAAACAATTTCTTTTTTTAAATAATGTTTTTATTACGACTCAATTAATTAATTAACTTAAAGATAAGGCTTATATGGTGATTAGGCTTATAAACCACTCAGTAGAAACAAGCCTTTTTGTATATTAAAAGAGAAAATAGGGGAGGGCCATCTTGGTGAACACCACCCAGTTAAGGAGCCTTTGATTAAATCAAGAATTTAAATTATTTTGTGTTACATTCTTTTGGGTACAAAGTACAAACTGATTTGCTATTTTCTTAAACAAATATTACAATCTAAAGTTATGTGAATGCTCCTTAATTATTCTATTGATCAAAGCAAGCATCCCACAACCAGCAGCAGCACAAGGCATAGAAACTGCACATACAGTTGAGGGCCAAATGTGATTAATTTGGTGTTGAATTAGTTACAAAATCAATTATAGCTAATAGGACTAATGGTAACTACACAAGGTAATCTTTAACAAATATGTATTTGAATCTTTTAATTTTATTAGTGATCATATACTAATTTTTATTATCATGTTTTCTTAAATGGATAAAATAGAAAATATTGTATTCTAATTTAAACGAAAAGCTATAATGTTTGAAAAAGTCCTTAAATTATTCAAAAAATATTTAAATAAATCTTATTCATCTATTATGTTCAATTAAGTCTTTATATTTTAATTTTTAATCAAATAAGTCCTTATTACTAAAGATTGATTAATTGGCATTAATCAAAATGTCATTTGTCAATCTTATGCTCACTTGGTGTTGACATGGATGGTGAAAATGTCATATAATCATCTCATTTTATCATGACAAGTCATAATTGATTATGATATGTCAACACCATGTAATATAGAATGAGAAATGACATTTTGACTAATAATAATAGTCAACCATTAATCATATGGCGCACTTGAACATTTGGTGCATTAGCTGGTGTATGATTTTGTTTAAAAAGCAAGATTCGAAGCCCTCTTCTCCTAATAAAAAAAATTATTATTTAACTAAAAATAAAAATATAAAAACTTGAATGAACGTAATAAAAAATTATTTGAATAATTCAGTGACTTTTTTAAATGTTACACCAATGAAATAACAAGTCGAATCCTGAAATGAGCCTTTAGAAAAAAATTATTGGTAATTTTGAAGAAAAGGTAGGAGAGAATTGTTTAATATTAGAGTGTATATATATAATAGTTTGGCAAAACAAGTTTAGGAAATACGGGTGTTCATTTTGGAAGAAAAGTTAGAAGAAGTTATACACATTACACAAAATTGGTTTGAAAGCCTAGGTTGAGTTGATGTAGACTCATAAATTCAGCAGTAATTAATAAAAGACTAGACTTAACCATCCTTTCAGAAATTTTCTTGTACTGGATTCTTCATGAGGGGAATTCCTTCCTTGCACGTTCAATTGTTCTGTTTAGATATGTCAGCAGCGGAAATGTTTCAACTAAGTCTAAAACTAGCCACTAGGCTAGGAAAAGCGTAAAACAAGAAGCTCAGTTTCTTGACAAATAAATCATATTCAACACTTCAACCTCAGTGCAATTTCACCCCTAAAGAACTGAAATCTGAGGCGTCAGCCATTGGCCTCAAGAACAGTACTGATCTGTTTGCTCTATATGGTATTTGGTCATCATTCTCTAGCTCAATTTAATTATCAAGAAACCAAAGAAAATGGAAACAAGATAACAACAAGTAGAAACTTCTTCAAATCTCACCAAAACCATATAGAGCCTGGATGATTCATATTGCATTAGCCTGACATTAAGGAGGCTGAGAGGACAAGGTGTAAAACCAAATTTAGGATCAAATTCCCTATATTAAAGGAGCATAATCTCAACTGATATCCATCTCTAGCATTGTACTTCCAAAAGGTATTATAACATTATAAATTATAAATAAAAAATTTACCCAAATCAACTTTCTCGAGCTCGTCCATGTCATACTCAATTTCATTCGTATTAAAACATGTCGATCCACGTAACCAATCTTGAACACAAATAAGTAATTGCACGAGCTTAGGAGTCAAAGAACTCTTATATGTGTCAAGCACACATCCATTGATATTAAAAACATATTCTGAAGCAACTGTTGAAAAGGGAACCACCAATACATCACGAGCCATAGTAAAAAGTATTGAAAACCTATGATTATTGAGTTTCCACCATTGGAGAACATCAAAGTCATCATCATCAATAGCATCACCATACACATCCTTAGATAAATATTTATCTAATTCCGTTTTCTGTTCCTCTCTACCACTATCCTTCCTACACCTCAAATACGCTAAAAAATTTTTCTTTCCTATTTCACTACTAGTGCAAGCCTCAATGCCACTTTACACTCTTGACTACTTTCACCAACAACACGAGACTGAGGTTGCAACATATTTCTATAATATTTAAACAAATCTTTCTTTGTTTTCTTCACCAAACTATTCATCAATGAACCTTGTAGAGGAGAATACATATCTTTAAATCAAAATTCAACAAAAATAAGCTTTTTTGTAGGATCAAGAATCGAAGCAATGTACAACACCAAATTCATTTTTCCCACATTCCCCTAATGCTTGTCAAATTTTTCTTTCATTTTATTTGCCATAGCCCGTAAATCAACATCATAATTGTTTTGCCATTTTTTCAAAGTGCAATACACCTCACAAACACAAACAAGAAATTATTACAAGTTACATAAGAAGAATTTGAAACATTTACCATCAACTAATAAAATTGTTGCAAGAAACAGAATTCTCCTAACATTTGCCCAATCATTTTCATTAAGCACCCCATTTCCCATCGCTAGCTCAATACTACAATTACTATCATTCACATCAAATGCTGCAAAAGCCTTTTCACATTTCAGAGCTGTATTCAACATCAAATTCCATTTAGTGCTAACATCCGAATACAATAAACTCTTACTTTCAATTCTTGCACTATCAACACATTCCTTAACTTGGCTAATTTAGTAGGAGATTGTCTGACATATCTCACCATTCCTCTAACATGAACAATTAACTCATTCATATCATTTAATCATCATTGACAATAAGATTAACAATATGTATAATGCATCTTATATGAAAAAATTTACCTTCTAAAATATTAGTTCTCGCAATATCAAAATTTTGCTTTAAATACATTATTACAACATTATTGGACCTAGCATAATCAACAGTAATAGAGAAAACCTTTTGAATCCCCCAATCATGCAAACATTTATCAATTTTCTTCCCAATTACCTCACTTTTATGACTATAAATGGGATAAAGGTTTAAAACCTATTTCTGTAGTTTCTAATCATTATCTATAAAATGAGTAGTAAAACACATATAATAAATTCCTTGTAATGAAGTCCATGTGTCTATGGTGAGACTTATTCTACCAAGACATGATTTCAACAAATTTTTCAACCGAATTTTTTCATCAACATAAACCTTATAACAATCCCTAGCAATGATCTGTCATGATGATATGCCAAATCTAGGACATGCTTGATTCATGCAACATCTAAACCCTTTACCTTTCACAAATCTTAAAGGCAATTCATATGCTTAGCTACATGCTTCCAAATTGCATTATGATTAACCTTCTAATTACCTGAACACTTATCTTTTTCCCAATCGAAAAGCTAATTCCCTTTGACTACAATCCTCACTAGCATGGAGCATTTCCAACTTCTTAAAAGTATTTATATGATTCTTTAAAGAAGATGTTCCATTTTTTTTAGATTCAGCTTGAAACTCCCTATTACATATATATTCCTTTGTTCCATTTGACATCTAAAAGAAAAAGTTTGAATTCATAATTGATGTCTTTCGCAATGTATATTAATTGTCACAAATTTTCAGAAAAAGAAGCTTTGAATGACTGAAAAAATTGGTATAAAGCCACAAGTAGAATTCTAATGAAGCCTTTATAATTCTTGGTAAAAACAAAGTGCTCTTCAATGATTGAGCAAAAGGGTAGAGCTTCCATATGGCTTAAAATGAGAAACGAAAGCTTACTGTTACTAGTTGAAGAATGATTTTTCAAAGAGGAAGCCAAGTGGCATGGCTGGCGGTTGGTGGATCGATAGCGGTAGTAGTAGATGAGGGAGTTTAGGAATTTTAAAGGGAAGGAGAAGGAGGCTGCAGTTCAGGGAGCTTAGGGTAAGGGAATTAATGAAGGTTAATAATGTCATATTATGGATATTATAAAAAAGATTGTTAGTTTTTTGGTCGATTTCAGGGGAAGGTTTCCCCGTTGACAACCGAGCCGATCAACCGTGTTTACCGACTAAACAAACCGAGGAGATAAACTACATGCATCAAAGAAGAAGGACCCTCTGATCGTAATTCATGCCTACCAGAGGCTTCAAAAACCAGAGATTCTTGAGCCGCACTTCAACTTGGTTGCTCTTTGAGTAGTGCTCCTCAACGTCGGGAAGCACAGCATGGATTGTGCTCGTTGTCTCCTTGAGTTTTTCAAGCTCGTCTTTGAAGTTCCATCATAATCCAACCTGTTGGAAAGCCTAGAAACAAACCTCGATATTGTTTTAAAATTAGCCTCTCTCAGTAATTTTAAAATGTTGGATGGATTGATATTCCTTGAACAAACCTGGATAATGTTTAAGGCAGCTCCATCCCAACCATCAGAAGAAGAGCACAGCTCCTCCATACACAACAAGTGGCAACCACATGAATGAATAAACATCGAGTCAATTCAATTGGGGTACACCTGCTTCTGGAAGACAGACAAACCCGAAAACCAGACCAGCAAAAACAAACAACACAATAAAGCAATAAATATGAAGGTAGCAGCAATGGCAACACAAAGGAAAGCGGAGAAAATCAGCAGGATAGAAAGCGGCAGCCACCACGCAACAACAGCCAATAAAAGAAAACAGGGGAGGAGCAGCTACCACCACGAAGAGAACATAGACTCCTTTAAGTCATCCAAAAATGTGACATCACCAAGCTGTAAAACCAAAGAATCAATCTCATTAAAAATGGCAAGATTTAGTCAGGCGAGATTTAGTTTGGATTCTAGTTCTTAATTAATACAACTCCCACATACATTTTGTCCCCAAACTTTTTTTTTTTCCTGAAGATGTTGCATGCTATTCCTCCAACTCAGAGGCAGATGAATCCTCCTCTTCTGAAGAACTCGATAATTTCTCCGACTCGGAGACGGTTGAATCTTCCTCTTCTGAAGACCTTGGTAATTTCTCTGACTCAGAGACGGTTGAATCTTCCTCTTTGTCTTGATCTGTTGACTCACTACTATTGAAATATTCCCTCCACCACATTGTCTTTTCAGGATTCAATTCAAAGGGAGATGAATCTTCGTCTTCTGAAGATAATGGTAATTTCTCCGACTCAGAGACGGATGAATCTTCCTCTTTGTCTTGATCCATTGACTCGTTATCATCGAAACATTCCCTCCCCCACATTCTCTTCTGAGGATTCATTTCTAGCGATGGCTGAATTAAATCCTTATATTGCGAATTAATAAATTAATTAGTATGCATACATTGAGTTTAACTAAAGGAAATCTACCTACTAAGTATGTTGTCTTTGAAATTGGAAGGCTGACATGCATAATATCTTTATCTTTATATTTTCTATTACTACTCCCATATATAAAACTACAAACTATAAAAAAAAGTATAATTATTGAACGACATATATATTTTTAAGAAGTAACTAAATTAACTATTTTGTCTTTAACTAATGGTTTATAAGTTCAGAAATATCATGTAACATTCATTTTATCTTCTTTATATAAAAGCCCCCTTACAAATATTTAATTTACTAGTTCTCTTGTACCATTTTTTGTACTCTAATAAATTTTATTGGCTGTGCCAAAAAACAAAAGAAATTTATTTAATTTTTACTGGAAATTTTATCATTAATTAAGGTGATTCAATTTTTTGTAATAGATTGGTATTCAGATTTAAACACAACTAATTAATATGAAAATTAAAATTATTTTTACCTGGGCAGAGTTCTTCTCAATGTCTAACACCAAATTTGAGGATGCATCTATTGCTGCTGTAATATTTTCAACCTGCTAAAACAAATTATGACATTATTCTGGCATGAGAACTCAAGTAATTATTTTACATCATCTCAAAATGGTTAGATTAATAAATTCCTTTATTAACAATATAAATGGAAGTGTATATTTTTAAATATAATTCTATGGGGCATGGAAATAATTAATTTCCAAATAACTATAGTGGTATGCTAGAGAAAAAAAGTATTAGAATTTAAAAAAGTTATAGACATAGACTTACCTTAGTAAGCACGCATTCTATATGAGCGGCAAATAAACCATTACATTCTTCACAACAATATACATAATCATCTCTGCATCTTTCTTCCTCACAAATATCACAGTAAGACTCTTCTGAATCATCTTCAACAAATGAATCCTTTATAATTAAAAGATGAATATGACGTCTAGATTTAACAATATGAGGTATGGGTACACAATCTAAGTGAAAATTGATGGCACATTCTAGACAGCGATAAAAGGGTCCTCCACAATCTTGACTGCATTCGTTACAAGGAAAGAAAGAAAACTGTGATTCCTGAAATTTTGTCCCAAAATAATAAAGATTGTGTTCATGGGACTGACATTTCAGAGGCTGCCTTATGGAATTAGCACATAGAGAATGGAGATTGAGGTCACATTGCTCACAGCTATATCTAAAATCATGTAAAATCATTCTACCACAAGCATAGCAATGAGAAATGCGGTAGTTTTTGCCAAAAAACAACATGTGTTCCAAATGAAATGGGAGTTGCATCTCTTGTGGCGTTCCGAGACAAGATTCATGAACTTGAACACTGCAATAACGGTTGAGGCAAAAATAGGCTGGACCTAAAATTGGCAATTCGCAAACCATGCATGATTTTTTCTCTATAGGGTCTCTACAATTGGCAAGGACAAGCTTATGTGGGTGGATGAACTCGGCTACTCTTTCCATCTTTCTGAGTTGCAACACCTCAGTTTTATGAGCTGTTAGAATAGCGCATTTCACATCAAGCTTGAAATCACACTCATCACAACGGTAAAAGAAGCCAAAACAGACATCTCTACACTCATCACATACAATGAGAAATGTATAGGAATAAGTAGTATAAAGGCTAAGAGGATGGCTAGAATGAAAAGGGTGTTGTATCTGATATGGTAATTTAGCGCATTTTTCATGTAGGCAGTACTTCCCATTAGGATCTGAGCATGTTGTGCATATGTAAGAGGGACCATTAACTACCAGACGGCAAGCCTCACAATAATGATTTTTCCATGACTTTTTAACTTTCTCATAGAATTTCATGGGATGTTCATGGATCATAGGTCGAATCTGCATTGACAAAAAAGGGTTGAATAATCAAAGATTAAGGATTATACATAGAATTCTCCACATAATGAATACAATGTCTATAAATTGTAAAATGATTATCTAATTTATGAATAAAACATTAATACTGAATTTAAATTAAGTTATATGTTAATCAATGTTGAGTTCTTTTTTTTAGAGTCTAAACTCCGCCTAATTTTAAAATAATTAATTAATATATTAAATGATAGTTGCGAACCAAAAGTTGTTTAGGAGTGCGGATGCCATCAATGACTTCATTATGCTCCATTTCCTCCGTTAACAAAGTGTTGCTGTAAATGGACCTGGGAGTTGAAGATGAGACCTTCTCAAATGAAATTTTATCCTATTGAAACAAACATTTATCACTGTCACATCAAGACATATCAAACAGACAAATATATA